ATTTAACCGTAAGTGCCTCTTGCCTCATCAGAAAATGAGGAAAGTCCCTATTTCAGGGGGTTGTTATGAGAAGTAAATGAATTAATAGGCATAAAGTACTCAGAGCAGTGGCTGGGCACATAGAAAGGGCTATAAACTGAAGTGTTTAGAGAATTTTTTCCCTAGCTCTGGCTTATTAAAAGCAAGCATTTCTCCTGGTCTGTGTGGCCCCATAGTAGTGCCTGCCCTCAGTCTTAAAGGGGTGAGGTAGTTACATCCAGTCTGGTTTCCCCCACACCCCAAGTTGGGTTCTCTCCCCCACCAAGAAGGTAGATGTGGCCTTGATGGTTTACACACGTCAGGATCCTCCAGCATCCCACATCTCCCGGCCACAGACAAGTTGCCAGCATCAGTTATTGAAAGACACACAGGTGCACTTAGTCACAAGAGCTTGCTCTGCATGTGAGAAACTGAGGCTCAGGGAGGTTATGACTGTCGCAAAGTCACTTCAGCAGAGCCAGGATTAGGGTGTGGTCCGTGCTACCTCCAGAACAGGTAGAAGACGAGGCTGGTTTTGTTTTTGGAGCCTTGATTTTGTACAGCATGGTTCTTGGGTCAGCTGGACCATGCAGATGCCGGGCTTCCACGTGCCCTTCGGGGCCTGTAATGCCTGCCTCTGAGTCGAGTGCCCGGGCAGCCTGCTCCTCCGGGAGCCCCTCCACGGGCCGCTCCTCTTAAGCCAGGTTCTTTCTAAATTGTGCGGGACTAGGCATCCGTTGGCTTCTGTGTTTCTCTGGTGTCTGACCTGTCATTTCCCTTGGTCACTGGCTTCTCATAACCCCAGCAAAGTTCCTTGTTACTTACTTCTGCCCGTCCGGTCATCTGCCACTTCTGTTTGCTTTCATCATTTTCCCTTCTTTGTCCCCCTTTCCCCACACTGGCCCTTGTGTGTTTCTGCCGTTTTTGCTGTACCTGGGGGTTGGGAATGGTCTCTTGACCTTTAGAGACATCGCTAGCCGTGCGCTGCTGTGAGCGGGAACGTGGTATGAACTGACCAGAATCCCTGGTATGTCATGTGATCTGTGCAGTCTTGCCCCCCAGCTTTCTTCTCATTAGCCTGGAGCCAAACTGGACATTATTGACACAGCATTACAGTCAGTATCATCTGCTCTCAGCAAAGGGAGAAGGTGCACCGAAAGTGGACCAAAAAACTGTGGAAGCCTATAATTCCAGAAATGATGGAAGGACATCCCTTCCTTAAGACACTAAGGCAGGAAATGATCAGGTTTCTGAAACAGGTCAAGTGTAACCTGCACGAGTGCCTGGCTTAAGTAGTGTTTAAACATAAAGAAACTCTTTTCTGTAACTTAAGGTAGCTTTATTGCTTGGCCTTTTCTTTGAGCTGAAATGAGGACATTTATTCAAGATTAACACACCTTATGAAACTGCATTTAAGGAAATTAGATATTTAAAGCATTCTTGAACATGTCAACATACTACAGTAGTTTTCAGTTTCAATGGTAGAATATTCCTTGCTCTCTATTTTTTGCCCTTTTTTAACATATGCTAAAAATTTTCTACCAACTCTAATTTTAAATGGTTTTTATATAAGTTTAAGAATCATTGTCATTTGAAATTAGTTAGGGTTATTTTTAGAAAGTTTCTATTAATGTGGTTATGCTTATCCTTTAATCTAGATGCATTTAACAGTTTTTGATTTTTGGTCTTTGGCCAGTTCAAACTGGAGTAAAAATCTTCAGTAAAGACACCTCGATAATATAATGGCTACTTCATCAAAACTCTGCAGTTGATCTTCTGAAAAGAAGTCTCTGGCCTGTGGGATATGGAAGCCAGGGGAAATTAATCATTGGATAGCTTGTCTAGTAAAGTTTATAAAGTGCATTTTTCAAACTGATCTAAACAAAAATGATTGCCTAACGAGTTAAAAAATAACTGATCGTATTTTCCGCTCATCTTATCCTTCTCCTTTGTTATTCTTCTAAGTTCCTGAGTGGTATTTAATAAAAAACCATAAGACTAACAAGGATGCGTTTAAATTCCTATGGCTTATTGATCAGTTTGTTAGGCTGAAAAGGGAAGGGGCAGTAGAGTGTGAACAGGTATTAGGAGCAGGATGGGCTATGTGAACTAACCTGGGTTGGGAGAAAAAAGCAGGATCTTTGAAATCAAGTACAAATGAGTTCAAATCAAGGCTTCACCATTTGCTCACTGTGTGAACCTGGAAAGGTACCAGATCCTGTTGAAATCTTAGCTTCCTCGTCTGCCAAATGGGGCCTGTAGGATTTACCCTCACAGGGTTGTCAATAGTGTGTGAATTACACAGCGTGTGGCCTGGCACTTATCTATTAAGTGCCTACTGTTATTTCTTTAAGAGGCAGGGACCAGTTATTTAACCTTTCTATTCTTCTGCCTTCTTTTCTGATTTTCCCTTATTACAGCCTGCCTACTTTAACTTAGGGTTGTGAGGATTTAGGGAACGTGCCAGTAAGCAGTGTTAGCCAGCCTCTTGGGAGTGCCTGGAGTGATGGGTTTGGATGCGGGGAGGGCTCGGGGGTCTGAGAGATTTGAGCAGTCTCTTGGAGGGTGAGTTGGTGGGGCCTGGGCACAGGATGGGACACCAGCGTGAAGTACAGCTGGAGGCTGAGAAGCTGAGCCCTGGGTGAGGCTGGGCGTGTCATGTAGTAGCTTCAGGAGGGTGGCTGGAAATGAGCTAGCAGAGGCCTGCAAGGATGTGAGGAGTCTCATGTAGGGTACCAGTACGTCGTCCGCTTTCTGACTTCACCCCAGTTTAAATCTCAGGTTTCCTATTGCCCCCACGAGGACTCTCACTCTTGTCTTATGTCTGTGGTTAGGAAAATTCTGTCACTGCAGTTGCAGGCCAAGCAAAAGAAGTTTGAAGGTTTTTTGCAGAGGCTTTAAAAGCAGTAGAATGATAGGGTTTGCTCTTTTTCTGTTTGCTTTTTTAAAGTGGTCCTGCTGAAGGGTAGATGAGGGGTTGAATAGATAGAATGGTTGTAGTAATCAGGGAGCGGGCAGCAGACGATGGAGACTTCACTGGAAACGAGAGAGGTGAGGACAGATGTCCAGGAGCCCGAGTCCTTCCCTTCTCATTAAGTTTGGCACTTCCCACTGGAGTCCCGAGCATGTTCCCTGGACATCGGCAGGACCAGGGTACTTCCTATCCCATCCCAAAGAGCCTCAGCTCACCCAGAGGTTTGCAATTATAAAGATCTAAAAAGGAGAGATTTTAACATCAGCATATGTTTAAGTTAGTGTCGCTTGGAATTGCATATGAGGGAATAAGCATAATCATCTTGGCCTTTAAATGTCTGGCTCTAGCAGTGACAACTTTATTTTGTGGACAAAAGAAGATAATGATTGTGTCAGTTTTAGAAACTCCTTTTCAACTGCCCACTTCCCATTTGCAAAAGATTTTCTTGAAAGCAAAACTAAAAAGAGAGGTGAGGCTTTAAAGGAGAAAAGATGGACAGGAAAAGAGGAAAAGAAATTTTGACTTAGATAAATGAGAATCCCTTTGCCCGCCAGACTGGATTCCAGATAGCTTCCACAGGCCCAAGGCGGGAACTGGTCTGTTTCACCTCTTCTCATGTGGTTCCCAATTCGCCACCCAGTCCTCTGCCAGTCCTCTCCCCTGGCAGGGTTGACCCTTCCTTACCTTTTTGGATGACATCACACTGCATGGACAGGCTCTTTTACCAAAGGTACGTCAGCTTCAAATGTGTGTCTGTCTTCTAGCTGCTTTAGGAGGTAGGCAGGTCGAGTTGAAGCCTGAAGGCTCTAACCCAGCTGACCTTCTAGCCAGAAGAGGTTTAAATAGGAATTCTAGGGTATCTAGTTGGCTTAAAACTGATTTATTTTCATTAAAAAAAATTTTAATGCGACAGCTACTCTCTTTTTCTTGTAAAACTTGGAAGCACACTGTCATGCACATGCACCCTTGTGCTTCACTAGAAACTTACACAGAGTGTTTGTCTAGGAACCAGATTTGGAAAAGGTATCTTCATCCAAGGGTAGCAAAGCTGAGCAGGGAGAGCCCAGCTCTGGAAGGGGGCACTTGGACTAGCTTCCGCCTTCCTAAGTTGTGTTTGAAATGTGTGTCTTTTCTGATCGCTTCCATCAGATTTGGGGACCAGTTCTTTCTCCTTATCCTTTTTCTAATTTGATGTTTCATAGTATTTCATAGCTAAGATTTAAGGATTATAACTTTTGGGGGTGGCATTTTCTATTCATAATAAAACTAGTTCAGTGTCTTGGTACATTTTTTTTAAATGGTTGATGGAAGATGGTCTTGTTACTAAAATAAACCTTTCTATAAATAAGTGCAGATACATCTGTTAAGGACATAGCCTGAATGTGGCAGACACAAGAATTGTGGCAGTTCCCGTCTTGCGGCCAAGATTTCTCTCTTAGGCTTTCTTTACAGCTAATGTCAGAGTTTCACATTCTCACAGTATTAGGCAATAGAATGGCCCAAAGAACTGGTGCCAAGTTACCCTCTTTCTTAGGGTAGCCAATGGTTGTAATTTGTACTCACCAAGGAAGAATGCGGCATGTTTTTATTTTTTAAGACTGAAATCCTGAGTTCTCTCCTTCAACTTCATTTTTAGGCCCTGGCTTTAGGCAATTTTCCAAATGTCTAACTGCTAAACTGCTTTCAAGAACTTATTATGCGATTGCAGGGAACTTTGGTCAGGAGAAAAAGAAGGCACAAAGTCTTTCCTAGAACACATGGGCCCATCAAATGACCTTTTAAAGAAACAACTAAAATTCCTCTTTCAAAGGCATAAAAGCACTAACTGAAACCAAACAAAACAAATCTCTACCCCACAAATCCTGCAGTTCATAAGGGGGGAGGAAAAGTTCTTTTGGGGAAAAACCATTTGACACTAAAAGCTTGTGTATTTTGCTCTTTGATGACGAGAAGTTAAAAATGGGGTGATTTAGAATTTTTAAGATAAAAATTAGCCAGGACTGTGCGAACGCTGTGTACCTTTCCGGGTGCCCGGGTAGCTCCTGCTAGAATACCTGTCTGGTGCTCGTCGCTGCCTCAAGACTACCTCACACTCCCCACCTGGGGGCGCCAGCACGGCAAGGTGAGTCTGCAAACGTGCACCACCCCCCCATGCACCCGAGAGGAGAGTCACTTATGACTTTTTGAGAGAAAACTTTTCAAAGTTTTAGGAGACTTTCAGAGATTGTGTTCACTAGCGAACGCTTAAGAATCATGATTTGTAAGCCATTTCTTCAGGTAGGTAAATAGTGTAGTTGGCAATAGTATCCTTTGCCACTCCTATTATAAATTCTAGATTCACATTTGGAGTCTGAAGCAAAATTTTGCAAACTGGTGTATCACCACTCTCAGGCTTCCCGAGGCCTGTTCCGCTAACACTTTAAATGGGCAGCATCTTTAAAAACGGAGACGTGGAGGGGAGGTTAGAGCTCGAGTAGTAGAATGAGCCCATGCTTAGCATGTACGAGGTCCTGGGTTCAATCCCCAGTCCCTCTTGTAAAAATAAATAAGCCTGATGACCTCCCCCCACCCCAGCCAAAATGAAATAAATAATACAATAATACATTTTTAAAAAACCAGATGTATTTCTAATAGTGGAAGGTTAGAAAGTCTTGGTAAGTCTGAAATGCATCCTATAGTTTGAACCTCTGTCTCTTTAATAGTGTCAGTAATTGGCTACGTTAAATAAATGGGGGCACAAAGTCCCCTGAGGTGGGCATATACAACTGAGTTACTTTCCACTTTTTGTTTGCTTGGTGTGTATGATCTCTTGTCTCTTGAACATTAGAGTGGCTCATTGGTCCCAGGAGGGAACATAATTTGACCTTGTTTGTAGTGAGTGAGTTACTTATGAATAAACTGTTCACATTTTACAGGTGAATAAACTCTTTAAGGGCACCAGCCAGTGTGCTGTCACATAAAGTCCTTAGTCTCTCATTTGCAAAAGTTGTGTGCTTGCATTTTTGCCTAGATGATGAATTTCAAAGGTCTCACATAATTAATTTCCCCTTAGAAGCTTCTAGTACCTGCTAGACTGTGTGAAAGGAGTGGATTCGTAAAACCATAAGCTCATATCTTCACTGGTTCAGTTCTGTGGACTCTGCTATGTTGCTTGGACATTAGGAAAACCCAGGATGGAAAGCTACAGGTGTGGAGAGTAAAAGATAGTCTGATTCTAAGAAGGCAATTGTGTTACATTTATATGAGACTTGAAAAATCCTAGTTGAGCCCTGCTCTTTGTGATGCTCTGCTGTTTATAATACATTCTAAAGAAAAGCATAAGGAAAAAATGTGTTATGTAGCTCTATTGACTGAAGTTCTCGCCACGACTGGGTAAAACGATCACTTGAATTTTAGGTTTAGCTTCCATTATTGATGGAGTTGTTCTGTTAATCTTTGTTTCACACATTAATTACTTCCTCTGTAGAGGAGGATTTATGTGTAAGTTATACCCAGAAGGAACTATGCTTCAGGTTTAATGTTTAGAAATGGTGTACATTTGGGTGGGAACACTTCAATTATTTGGTTGGTTTCTCTTGGCAGACTAGTGTTATTTACTAAGACAGGTAGGAGATACGTGAGTAGCTTGCAGTTTGCTGAAGAGTTTTCATTTTTTGCTGTTTATTCTTAAGTGCTCTCTAACAGTCTTTGATTCTAGACTTCAGGTGCAAAGAGATTTCTTTAGCATCCCACTCTGTTTCCCTCTTTTTAAATGAAGTTTTGCTTGAACTTAAAGAACTTTTTTGCCTGTGCTGGAGACTGAAGCCAGCTTACTCAGACAAGGAGTACGAGTTCCCTTAGGCTTTCCAAATGAAGCATCTAATGTTTGTCGCGTTAACTTGATAAGCAGCAAAACCAGCTTCGACATTCTCAGAATTGGCACAGTGTAAAACTACTTCAGTTTTTTTTTTAATGGAGCTACTTTAAATTTTTAATGTTTTACAATCAGAATATATCGACTGAATCCCATTTTCTCCCTATAGTGGTGCAATTTCTCCTAAGCCATTATTCTCTTAGAGAGTGAAGATAGAGAATAATTCACACTATTATTTATCACAAGGCATCTTTGTTAGGTTTACAAAATTGAAGCTGTGTGAGAGCAAACTGTAAAGCCCATGTTTTGTGTAAAAGACAGATTAGGGAAGACAGTCGGTTTTACAGATCGTTTATCTGCTTCTCTTTCTGTTCTAAATAGGACTATAATATTCTCCCAGCCCCTCCTTTTCTGGTACTTTCCTGTAAAAAGCATTAGTGAGGGGAAAATAATGATAAACAAGGCTTAGCTCTATAATCTTCTTTCAAAACTGCCTTGCAAGTAATTTCCCATAGTTTCTGTGATGAAGCATATGGTGGTGATATATACACTGTGCCTCTGGTAATAGGGATTGGTTTCAGAATCCTCTCAACATTTTATATTTTAAGCTGTGTTTGTATGTTTTCAGGCTAGGTTTTCTGTCCCATGTAGATTTAATGGAATTTATTTCTATACACTTACACTTGGTTTTAAAAGGGTTTAGATGGGAGCATTTCTAAATAAAACCTGTAAAGAGATGTTTATTGTTGTTGTGGGTAATTCAAGCATACAGATTTTAGGAGGCTTGAAATGGT